TGTGTCCAATCCCCACCCTGCGCTCCGCCCTTTCCCCTTCCCTCCACCCATCATCAACTTCCCAACAACCAACAAAGACTTCCCCCTACCCCCTTTTAGTATAATTTATTTTTCTTAGTCTTTTACATTAGTGGTCCTATGCAGTATTTCTCTTTTTGTAACTGATGAATTTCACTCAGCATAATGTCCTCAAGGTTCATCCATGTTATGCGGTGGCTTACTGCTTCTAGATTGGTTTTAAAAATGCCTTGAAGTCAGCTTCTGTTAATGCTGGTGAAAATCATCTCCAAATTTTTGCAGCTTTATCTATGTTTACTGTATAAAATGTGTCTTCTTCTTACCTTTCTTATTGAAGAACTTTGTGTGTGTGTGGTAAATATGTTTTACAAATTACAACATAAGATGTAAATATGTTGTAAGAAAACATTTATCATTTCAACATTCCTTAACATGTGAAATTTAGTGACAGTTGCATTCATCATGGTGAACAAAAACATAATCAGATTTCGTTTGTTTCTATGACCATTAATAGGAAAAACAAGGGTTGCAAAACTGTCTCTCATACTTTGGACATGTCAGAAGGGACCAGTCCCAGGTGAAAGACATTATGCTCGATAAAGTGGAGGGTCAGCAAATATGAGGAAGACTCCCAATGAGATGGGTTGGCACAATGGAAGCAAAAATGGACTCAATCCTAACAATTGTGAGAATGGTGTAGGACAGGGCAGTGTTTCATTCTGTTGTGCCTAGGATTTCTATGAGTTGCTGACACCTAACAACAACTAGAACTACAGTGGAACTGAATATCCCTCTCCCTCTCACCCACTGTTCCTGGGCTGAGTCTCCAGCTGGATGTAAATCTGCAGGAAGTCAGGGCCCAGATCCATCTGGGTCACTACTGCATTCTCAAAGCTTAGCAAGTGTTTGAGGATATTTGAGTTAAAAAAAAGAGTAAATGATTAAATTATGAATGATAACTATACCCGTCATCAGTCCTTTTCTTTAATTTATGATATAAATTGTCCCCACCCCATGCAGATTGATTTGATCAATTCCATTTCATGCTTAGCTGCCTGTTCTTTATGGTTTCCTTCTAACACTTGTCTATTAAACATTCAGAACTGTCCAATATGGTAGTGTGCTCTCTGAGCTTGGACTGATTAGGGCAACTCACGGTGGGTAAAATGAATGGATAAGCGTTTTCACGGTATGTTATGGCACTATTGTAAATGAGCAAACAAACAATATAAACTTTTTAGCTGGTGGCATTCCATGGTTTGAGGAAAGGGAGAAAGGGAATTTTAGCAATGTAGGGAGAATGTTTCAGCAATGTAAGGAATGAAAGTACAGCATTTAGAGTTACCTAACTTCTTGCCTTGCAGAGGTGCTAATGCAGTCAAAGCAGCCCTTTAAGAGGTCCTTTTCACTGAGAGAGAACAATGTGTCCTTTCATGAATATGTTAACCACCGAATTCATTGCAGCTCTTCTCATCCTGCTTTGTGACAGTATTCTCTTACCACAGCCCAGTGACTTCACTATGGCAGTTTTGCCAATGATTATTAACAGCTAAAGAGCATTGTAAGTATGAGGATATTTCATCTATTTTGAAGTCTCCTGTGGCTCACAACCAGTTCCTATTAATAATAATTTACCTACTACTCCCTTCAAACATTCTAGAAGAGGCACTATGACTTCTCCACTGAAGAAAGGACTAGGCTGCAGACCCCAGGTCTGAGCTATTTCCTGAGCTCCTTCATTATTTACTGAGATTCCTGAAAGGCAAACAACTGGAGTGTTATCAGGCAAAGGCAGATCCCTGGAGCCTTTTATCATTCTGGCTGCAATTTTGAATATTTCCTCTCTCACCAGACAGCATACCAATGAAGCTAGACTCTTTAAAGGGAAATGAGGCAATTAGAATGTCAATTTTATTTGGTAATATATTGTAAAAACTAAACAGCATATCTGGCTGATTGACAAAATCCATCCAACTGTTAAAGGCAAAACAAAACTATCTCAAGAGGTATAGTTATGCAGATTTTGCTTTTACCTATAGGCAGATATTGAGAGAGAGAGACAGAATACTGAAGCACAATACTACATCTGGAATTGTCCATCAAATAAAATTCAGGAAGAGTAAGAGACTGAGGGAATCAAGAGCAGGTAAATCATGTCAGGCTTTCTCTCTTCTTCTTCAGTGAGCCTTTTAACTTCTTCCACAGGCTGTCTTTTCTCTTCAATTTCTTATCCATCAGGGAGGGCATGGACTCTTTCTTTCGGATTTCCCTCACTAGGCCATGAAAAGCATCATCGATACAGAATCTGAGGGCTGCAGAGGTCTCAAAAAAAGCGCAGTTATATTCTTGGGCCAGACTCAAACCTTCTTCTGTAGACACCTAAGGGAGAAATAAATGACATTTAAAAGAGAGCATGTTCTCCATAGTATGGACTGTGGGTCTCTGTTACATAAGCTGTAAATGCGGAAATTTGTTTTAATGAACAATTTTTGAGAATTTCTGAATGGAAAAATAAAAAAAATTAAACAAAAGTCTGAGCCAAACCTAATCGAACACTATTGAGTTGATTCCTACTTTAAGCGACCCTGTGTAGAACTACTCCCTAGTGTATCCAAGACTAACAATTTTTATGAAATCATTTTGTCTCATATTTCTCCCATGTAATAGCCGGTGGATTCCAACTGCAAACCTTTTGGTTTTCAGCCCAACACTTAACTTACTGTGCCACCAGGGCTCCTTGATTCCCCTGAACTTATGACAACTAACAAGAAATAGAACTAGAAGCCAGCTTTCCAAACTTTTAAAGAAGCACTGTAGATTACTGGTCAAAAGTATGAGTTTGGATTACTTTTGACCAGTAAGATACTGTGCTTCTTTAAAAGTTTTTAAATGGCTTTAAATTCCAGTCCTACTACTTTGTAGCTTTGCAAACTTTAATGTTTTACCCTTTTGCCTCAATTTTTATAATGCCTACATCAATGACTCTTTGTTAGGTTAAAAGATACATTGAATATGTCATGTGTATCTTTAAAGATCCATAAATGTTAGCAATTATTATTAATGTTTATAGTTAAGAATGAGTCAGAATGAAATTAACATGAAACTTTAAAAACAGCAATCCTTCTCTTCTGGTTTTGTTTTTACTATACAGTGGATCCTTGAAACTGTGGGGGTTAGGGACCCTGA